GTCTTGCCTTTTTAGGCTCAGCCTCGGCTCAGTAACGCGCACCTTTACCCAGTTTCGCGGGTGACGTAGCTTGCTACCGTTTTATAAATGTCTTCGCCGACTAAAGCCGATATAAGAATAACAATATATTACGAGGATCATGTAGTTGTTATTTACATATGATAAAATTCATGTTTATAATAAACAATTTGTTGTAAATACAATTGGAATGCTGAACATTAATGTTATCTTTATTTATAAAGCCTTTCATTGTTTTTATTTACGATTCAAAATCAACGCGATCCTAATTTTTAGTACAAATTCCTTTCGTGATTTAAACATACTTTTGAACCAGTAAGTCTGTGTAGCTAGCAATGTATCGATTCAGTGACCGTTATGTAGGTTAATACAACTAAAATAACTCGGCAGCATCATGTCTCATTAATTATTAATCTGTTATTCGTTAGGCATGAGGGCCTTTTCAACGAACTATCTTAAGTTTTCTGTTTCTTATATAAACTTTTTTACTTTAATGTCGTCACAATTTAACGGGTAAATAAAAGCTAGATCAAAACCTAAACCTAAACAAAACTATATTTGTTTAAATAATAAGCATTTACTAATGTTTGATCGTATTATCTGAGCCAGTGAGATGTGTAGGTTTCTGTTCAGGTAATATTTTGACAATTTCATGAAGGTTAACAGTTGAGTAAGCAACAAGAGACAATTTAAATTTGTAATAGACAATTTACGCCTCACTGAATTTATACCGAGTTGAATAAGGTCAAATAAAGAAAACGACAAGCTGTAATGTTTTTGCAATATCCTTATTGAGTTTAGCATAAAAAAACACGGTTAACACTGAAGAATGGCTGAGGATGATAAGTTTTGCTGGAATCAAAACCTATTTAAATCAATCTAAGACATGTAAATAGTTTACATTACAATTAACCGGTTTCGACGATTCAAAGGTTGTTAAACTCGTAAACATTTTTTCGTTCCTTCATTTTAAGTTTAATCTCACTATGTATTCAGGTTACTTTTTCCATACAAGGAGTCGTAATTAAAAAAAAAATTAACATTAATTCTGCTGCAGTCTCGGATGCCAATATCTGTTTTTTTTTTTGTAGATGTAAACACATTTTTTTTTAACAAAAATCTTACATTCCTTAGAATAACTGGTCACCTCTCCTGTTAAAAAAAATAAAACTATTAAATCGCCTTAGCTAAAAATTGTTATGGTTACCCCAGTAGATGCTATCACTCTTTCTAAGTATCAGTGAACGATTGTTGATCAAATCACGTCTCTCGCACCGTTGTTCGTTCCCCAAGGATGAAGCCCAGCACCTTATTAGGTCTGCCTTCAAGTCGAGTACCGCATACGTGGTGATTACGAAGGACCTGGCCCCGGTACGTACGGAGTACGGAACCGGATATACACAGTAACGCGTTTGGAAAGTATGCTTTGGTATCGATTATACATTCTTTTATAATCATCTAATACGAAAGTTTAAAATAAATTCATCATCATCATAATCCTCCTTATCCTACTCCCGTATGGTCGGGTAAGGTTTTCAAATAAGTTAATTTCTAATATACATTTTATTTCTACCAAAGTAAACTAATTATTATTAATGTATGTAGCATTTTTTTCGCCTTTGATCAAAGAACAAAGAACGAAAATAAAATCAAGTATTTCAAAATGATTCACATTTTGTTGCCACATTACGTTAGTTCAAAACAAAGAGGCGCATAGGGCGTAATTAATGCATCGATGCAGCTACGCGGCTAAGGCATAATGGATTTGTAGTGCGCAGGAATTGATCACATTAGAGTATATTGTCCTTTGAATGATTTTATTGCATCTATCAGGTGCGGATATGTTACGAAAATGGTAGCGATAAAATAATCATGAATTGTAGATTGTTAGTTTAAAGTTTTAGCGTTTAAATAATCATAATTTAACGTTTTGACAAACATTTACATACAAACGTTACATAATTCTGAAGTCAACATAATATTCTAAACAACATCAATTTTGACGAGTTACTGAATTAAAATTTTAATAATATTAGCCTTAACTTGTAGTCAAAGAAACGTCGACTGTAAGAGAAAATTGTATTATAGTTATACGATTCTACAAACAACGAAATAAAAAACACTTTTATTGATATGTATTATTTCACTATTTACCTAAAGGTTTTCCATTGTGAAACAATGAGGGCTTCAGTTTCAGTAATCCTCGACTTATTTAGAGCAAGAGGCGGAGGATATTTATTTTAGGACTGTGTAAAAGGAAATGTTAAACGAATGGAACGCACGCGTGCTTGCCGCTTGAATAAAATTTGGTGTTGGCATAATTTCGTTTGGCGTGAAGCAATTTTGTAGAAATTAAAAGAAAAAAAAAGAGTTATGTTTAATGATGTTGAACTGGGATCTTACTGTTTTAAAGATAAATTAAAAATCATTTCTTTTCCATTCATAATCATCTTGCTACTACAATATTCTCTGTGACCAGTAAGGAAAATTATGACGTAACGTTCCTCCTACGTTTATCAATAAATTTCTATCCATTCAATAAATTAGGCAATACATCTATTTTAGGTAAGCAAGCCCACAGCTTTGGAGATAAGCCTTGCTGTGATTGATTTTATCTGTCAGCTCTAAAAAAATAAAAAATATTTATCTCATAATTCTATTTCCTTTTAAAACTACTCGGGCTTCAGAGGCAGTAAAATAGCTATATATTAATACTACAAATTCCGTGCAACTACTTTTTAGATTAAAGAATGCATGTACTTTTACATAAATAGTACAATACATTACAATTACTAATTGAGTCTTTTAAACAAGAGACCGTTTGTATGAAGACTCGCAACAGATGTGTTGATAGATACAAAGAAATAGACTTGGCATTGTTTATTAATCGGCTAAAGTTATATAATTCCGTTGTTATACATAAACAAAGCGTTGCAACTGTATTGCAATTGTCTCCGTTTTATTTTTAAGTCGTCCAGCGTTATTGGATCTGAGCAGATGGACTCTAGTCGTGTATTAGTTAAGTGGCCACTTGAGGCGAGTGGGGCATTTTAAATTGGCGATCGTATAAACGCTATACTGTCCGGTCTCTATTATTCATCATTCGTGACAGTGGCCAATTGGGATTCTTTTTGTTCTTTTTCAATAATAATCGGACTTCATTGTGCTACTGGGACATATTCAGTGGCACAATATTGTTTCAGTTTTTACCTTTGAACTGAATATTCTTACATAGTTAATGGGCTTAACAATTATTCCCATCTTGATTATTAAAGTAGAGCATAAAATTAACAACAATCAATCTCTCATTATTTCACTAGGATACTCTTTAAAATAGAGCGTAGAATTTTACATGCCAGTAAACCTATAAACAATGGATTACCACCAGACAATTAATACGGAACTTAACTGCTGCATGCAGTTGTATGCTTTCATAGTCGATTATGAGCGTGTTTCTAATTTAGCGTTAACTCGTTAAATGGTCACGGACTTACGCTCTTTCCGGGCAATGCTCATTTAGGATAAATTAACTGGCTGGACGTTGTATATCAACGAAAATTATATATCAAAATAGTTTCGGTTTACCTAGTGTGAAACGACCACCAGTATACATCGACTTAATTGAAGTAAACAGCGAGGTGAAATGACCTTCAAAAATAGTGTAGGCCCCTAATATTTTCATTACGGTTATTGTTAAGAGCCATACAATGACATGTATGAATAATCTAAGCTTACAATTACTGTACTTTGTATAAATAAATATTTGTGTGGACAACAATATCAATGTTTCATTAGTTATTGTTATTCAGAAACATGACGGCGCTTTCTTCTTCTGATAAAATTCTTTTTATTAAAATTTCCAGAGGAAATTATACATCAATTAACAAAATAATTGGGATAATTTGCAGAAGCAAAATGTTTGTTGTTTGATGTATAATTCAATTAACAATGTTTGTTAATTCATGTATAATTTCCTCTGGAAATTTTATTATAAAGTTTTCTTGTTTTAGTATAGTATACATCCTATTGCGCGGAAACACACGCTAGTATAGCAAACGAGAGACATTTCTCGACCTTCTAACTATTCATTTTCAAGGCAAGACAAACGTTCGCCTAAATAAGAATTACCAGCAATTACTGATGTAAGATTTAGACTATGCACGTCTATTATTTGGTAGCAATTGAACACGCTCGGTTTGACACAATAATAAATGCAGTGTAGAACGGAGTGGAGTGTCTTGTGTCCGTCGTCTCCATGGAGGCGGGTCGCGCGCGCTGTAACCGTGACAACCCTCGCTTCAGATTGTCTCTGGGACTCACAAGCGTTCGTCATATAGTCGATAAACTAGAAGCTGAATATACACAGCCAGTGATCAGTGCTAGCGGTCTAGAAGTAATCAAATACCAGCCGAAAGTCGACCACACTTTCAACGATTACAATGACTTCCCATTCGGAGCTCCGAACGGGAAAGTCTTGAGCAAATTCGTTGTGAACTTCGGTTCGGCTCTCAGCCGATGCGTTCCCAGTGTCACCTTCGCGAATTTCGGAGTGTTATCCATAGTGACTGCAGTATTCGCACCGAAGATGATATCTTACCTAGTGCTGTATCCATTTTGCAGATTGGTATTTGGAACCCTATATCCGGCGTATGCTTCATACAAAGCTGTGCGGACGAAGAATTTGAAAGAATACGTGAGTATACAAATATATTTATTTAATCTGTAGATTTTGTAACCATTAAAACTATTGATTCCTAGTAATTCATTCAAATAATTTGATTAATATTATACAAATACAAACTGAACAGCTTCTGCGAATGAAATCTACCAAATTTAATTTATTTTAAATCAATACCAGTAATGAAATATTTAAAAAAAGGCCGGTAAAGTAGTTACTTTAATCAGAGCTTAATGAGAGCTTTTTTGAAGTATGGTAAATTGAGGTACAAGTATAGTTAATGTAAGCTCAAAATGATAGACCGTTTACCGAAGTAAACTTTACTTCGAAGCCGAGTGTAATATTTATTAAAAAATATCATTGGAGCCATACCGTTTCTAAGTATAGAGTTACTACTAGGCTAGGACGGCCTTGCACGCCTGTTCGCACAACTTGTTCGAAACGCTTCAGTTAGCTTCGTGTCCTTTACCTCCTCTCCGATACTTATGTGCAATTACTCGTAGTGCATGTATTGTTCCTTACAAACATATTGATTTATCTTTCCTTTGTTCCAAACTTTACATTGGTACCAAGGGATACAATTTGTAATAAACAATAACACCAACTGTACTCTTCATTTTAAATTATAAAAGTACCGTAAAACCATAAATATGTTTATTACTTACCATATGAACGTGTTATCTTTGTTAACGATATTCATAAAAAAAATATATAGGTACTGGCCTATAAAAAATTATTAAAATGTCGACTAAATTTTCGCACTGTTGATTCCAGGTAAAATGGATGATGTACTGGATAGTGTTCGCACTGTTCACGTGCACGGAGACGTTCACGGACGTGTTCCTGTCGTGGTTCCCTTTCTACTACGAGGTGAAGATAGTGCTCGTGCTATGGCTGCTCTCGCCTGCTACCAAAGGCTCCTCTATACTGTACCGCAAGTTCGTGCATCCGGCGCTCTGCAGGAGGGAACAGGTAAATTATACTCTTCTGTCTGTTAGTGAACACGATTAATAATCAATCAAATTTTAAAATCAATGTTTAGATTATTGGAGTTACTTTGTATGTACATAATCCGAGAAGTCCTTTGTGAATTTAATAAGTATGTAACAAAATACAAAACACGTTTTATCTACTTTGTGTTATTAGTTGTAACAATACGATTGATTGAAAGTCATATTTTCTTTACATATACGTTAGAGAAGGTATTTGATTGTTTTATATGTTAGCATCGCTACAACCTCAAGGACTTGAATATTTATACAGGTTGATACTTACGCAAATGGATTCATTAGTAGCAATGCTAGTTGTGCTCTGAATGTGTTTTGTTTTATAATGCACCTGTCTTTATGTTACGATATCGCGACTAGTATCGTATGCCAAATATTTTGCGAGCATTGATTCTGATGGTGAGAAAATCATGTCAGGGATTTTTGTAGTTGTCTACAGGGGACTTTGAAAAAGTCGAAAATGTGAACTAATTATGTATTGGTTTTATTTTGCTTAAACTTCAATTTTTTGCATTATCCACAGTATGCCTTTATCTCTTTTTTTAACTTGGTAAACTGTACCAATGAAAAGCTATAATTTCAAGGTTTTGATGAGATTATTAGGAAGTTTGGATTAAAGTGACTACAAAAATGTTTTGCTTATCAATGCTTTGATAGTACATCAATATTAGTATTTTTATGAATGAATTAGTGAGGGACTAAACATTTTTCTGCATTAATAGGATTCTTTATTGCAACTCATTTTTTTTCTTTTTAATCCAACAGGAAATAGATGAATACATCGCCAAGGCCAAAGATCAAGGTTACCACACCGTGCTCAACTTGGGCACTAAGGGCGTCAACTATGCAACCACCGTTATTATGCAGACCGCTATTAAAGTAAGTGTCTACACTAAGCACTTTTAATGTAAAAAAAATGTTTTATGCATGCTTTTCAATAGAATTGATTCAAATAAATGTTACAGTTTGTTAGTAATTTGTATTTTATTTGGTTCAAAACCATGCATAAAGAATTTGATGTAAAAATATGACGTTTTAACATCAGTTTTGTTCAGTTTTCTTTTCATAATGTTTTCTCACCAATTACATAGTCTAATTCACGTAATGCTAAATTAAATAAGCAAGATGATGTGTTTGATTACGGTTTTACATACTCAGCTATGTAGTACAAATGCTGGTAGCTTTTAGCACAGCTTTCCTAGTGTTGCCTTTCACAAGCTATCATCGCACTTTATATTTGATCGATTTTGTCCTAATGTTTTACAGCAAACGATATCAAACACATCAGTTCGATGCACTACGCTTAACTTTAATTTCATGTTGATTTTTTTTTATTTTATTAACACGCTTTTTTAATTTCCCTCCATCCTCCCCGTTCTATTCCAAAATCCTTACCATTGCTGCTTCAATTAGAATCTCAATCTGCCGAATCCCGAGCAAAGAATCGAAGGTAGAAAAGCTATAACAGCAAGAGATGTCATCGACGGTCAAGATATTACGTACAACATTGAATACCAGCATGCTGAGAGTAGCAGCCCTCCTAGAGTTGAAATAATGGAACTAGACCCACAGGAAAACAATGACGACGAATTTCATATCGGTGCTGGAGACACGAACGATCCCGATTATGAGCCTACTTCGGCACGTAGTCGCGGCAATGTCGTTAGAAAACGCAAAGTAACGAAGGAAAAGAGATCACGAAGTAAATCCAAAGGGCGTAAAACCAGGAGCCAATCGGCAATAGAAAAAGAGAACGAAGTGAAGATCGACTGAACTAGGGTTACTCTAAAGAAATAATAAACTGTGATTCTTAGATGATTTTAGGGCGGTTCTTAGTTTTAAAAGTCATGAAATACTTCATTTTTAAAGAAACTCCTACCTATGATTTCTCTCGGCTATTGAAGATTTTTCTCATTTATTTACTTTAGCTCATAGAAAGCCTATCACAATTAGTTACTTTTGCTTATTGCCGTTTTTCGCTTTTGTAATTTCAACCATTAAAATAGTTCCTTTACCAAAAAAATCAAGAATTTATAACAATTTGTTTTACATTTTTATATGTTCTAAATCTCAGTCATCGATCTCTGTCGCATGACTCTTGTATACTTAGTCATATTTGCATGTTCGGTTTGACGTTCACCGGCTATGTATGTTGTGTTCTTAGATTTTAGTTACGCGTGACTGAATTAGAGTTAATGTACGTGTTATTTCTAAATAAACTATGTGATTATATCAGACCTTTCATTAATAAGTAGACAACATAAGCTTTACACAGCACAGCATGCTCTGAAAAGACTCGACAAATGCAGGTTTAAACGTGAGTATTCATTTTTTTTGCTTAATTATTTGTATAACTTAAAAATGCACTAAAACACATCTAATAAAGTTTTATCACCGTTAATCTGCGTCAGGGATTGGACTAATGCGTGCGTTACTCCTGTTTTTGTGCCATTTTAATAAATTGAATTTATTAATTTCTAAATACTCCGACCAATGTAGAGTTTGAAACAAGCAATAGATGGTAAGGTGATAGATAAATTGTTTAAAAAATCATATTTAATCGCCGAATAGCACTGCATTGGCCTTACATATTGTCCAAATCAATGCTATACATATTATGCGTTAGATTGCTGCTGCACTTGCCGCTGCCAAATACAAACTAAGACACAGACAATATAATATATGAAAATCTGTTAAAGAGTGATTTTCAAACATGTTTTCTATATAGCAATGGATTAAGGCCTTATAGAATTCTCAGGACGAATGTTATGTAATGGTTTCTGCTACCGAAATGTCAATACAAAATATATAGTCATCTCCTCATTTTATAGACAATGAAAGGAACGATATGTTCTCGTGGGAATGTCTCGGTAGTAGAGACTCGTTAACGTGATAGTTAACTTAAATTAACTGTGTGTGGCTCCAGGGCGGCGGTGGTCTAGTCCAACAGTTGCGCAAGAGTTACAGCCTGTCTGACTTGACGGAGTGCGAGCCGCGTGAGGAGCGCGCCGGCGCGGACGAGGCGGACGACGTGCTGGCCGAGCCGAGGCTCGTTAGACGCGCTATCAAAAGGTTAATTACATATTTAATATAATACAGCGTAAACACACACTAATTTGTGGCTTAAGATGTCAGCAAATAGCATATATTTAAATAATTCTTTCGTTAATAAAAAGTCCTTCACTTACGACACGCTTCAGACAATATATTGTCACGCTATTAAACTCATGTGGATAATTGTCATCCAATATCAAAGGCCTTCGTTGTCATTTGTGCATTTGAATTTTGTCATTTGCAATTGAGAATTTGATAAATTTAAAATAAAGTTTTTATAATTTCATGCGAATGATGCCGCACGGGAACAGCTCTTTATGTCATACATAACTAATGCGTCAGACTATTACGATACTCGTAACTTGATAGATCTTAGTAAACGTGATTTTCGTCCTTTTTAGCGGATTTGCGGCTCGGCGCAGCGCTTCCGAGTCTAACAGTCGCCAGCCGATGTACTTCCCAGAAGTAGATGTGGACGTGAGAAGCACTCGCTCCAGTAGAAGCGATGAACCAGATTTTAGGTAATTATTATAATAAAAGTGTATAGTGTGTGATTGCAATGCCATTTTTATCCACTTAACAAATCTTGTTGGAGTTTTGTTAGCTGACTTAAATAAAAAAAAAACATTTTATTGTTTACATTTGTCAAATACTCAATTGCAAATGTCAAAATTCAAATGTAGAAATGACAACAAGGGCCTTTGACATTGGATAAAAATTACCGTAACCATGGCAACCTTGCTTCCTTTATGTCAGATTGCAGTTTATGTTTCCCATATTAAGGTTTTATTCAATTTATTTACCCCTACGTTTAATACCGTAAAAATATAACCTAAAGCGTGTCATAAGTGTACGGCATTTTATTAAAAAATTATTCAAAAACATACTCTGATTGGAGACATCTTACGTCACGAAGCGTTTTTAGCTTTCTTATATTAGTATAGAGGTATAGTAACAGCCTACCACCACCCATGGTCCCACCGACCCTCGGGTCATAGGGGCCAAATCGCGGAAGGGCCGCACGGTTAGTATAGTACAGAAGTATAGATGTGTGTTTTATTCCAGCCATATAAAATCAACGGAGGATATAAGCTCGGGGTACTCTAGCGCGGACAACTCTGCGTCGCTGACGCGCGCGGGGTCAGTGGGGGCGGGTGCCGGGGGTGGGGGCGGGGCTGCGGGCGGGGGGCGGTCGCGCGCGCGCTCGCTGCGAGCCACCGCCGTCACCAACATCAAGCGCCCGCAGGCTGCAGAGGTCTGGTAACGCTGATACATCACCTCATCGATATACAAAAGCACTAAACTATACAACGTTCTCGAAATTTCTCGAACATTCTTCGAACAGTCTCGAAAAATGAAAGGAATGAAATGCCGATTGTCTTTTGTTTACAATTTAGTATGTGTTTTTGCGACTTGAAATTACATATAATACATACGAAAATACTAATCTTTCAAACAAGATGTATTCTAGACTATTTATAATTTATTGTTAGATAAATAAAGGTGTGGATTTTTTAAAAGAAACAACTCAAAACTGGAATAAAATCGTTTTGGTTTGCGTGAACACACGGTTATTTCTAAATTGTAACCTTACGGCTGTATCTTAAAGTTTGTACAAAAGTAATAATTAATGCTTATGTGGCCGAAAGTGGTTTTTTCACCTAAATGACTGTTATATTATTTTATATACTAAATCATGCATGAGAACGAAATATTTTTTTGGTTATCCAAATTAAAAACGATCAATATTGAGAAGATTTTTAAAGTTTTGGTAATTTTGTATATCGATGTATGTTAATATCCTCATGATGTCATAAGAACTTTAATGATCATAAAATCATTTAACGAAGGCTGGACAGAGCCGGGGAATCGAGTGCTAGTCTAGTATTGGATCATTTTGAATACACGTCTTAAGTTTCGCATAAAAAAACTACAAATTGTCTGTTATTAGATGCATTACTCATAGGAGTGCATAAAGATAAAACTATTTTTTTTAACCATAAAGTACAAAAAATTCCAAATGAACCGCGTACTGTACTGACACTCCATTATTTCTTATGTATTTATCTGATTTTTTAAAATGTTTTATAAATCCTACTATGGGCTTCCACTGTACAGTTAGCTGCGTAAATGTGTACATTTACTAAACTTTAGGAATTGGATAGGCTTTCAGTATGAAAAATATGATTTGCACTTAGATGATAATAACTTATATTCGTAGACGGATACGTTTGTACATATACTAGCTTTCGCCCGCGACTCCGTTCGCGTGAGATTAAAAAAAACGAAACTGAGTAGCCTATTTGTTCTTCCAAATTATCCTCTACATCATCCATCCATCCATCTAAACTTTCATGTTTATAATATTAGTATGATTTAAATCCGATGGTTTACAGAAGTTGCTGTATTTGTAAATGTTTACATTCTTTGCAGCTGACTGTACACTTGTATTAAAGTATATTGATATCTGTTTTTAGTGGATAATGACAGATTACGGAATACGGAGACGGTTATGATATGTTTTTAAACTAGTGTTTTCACAGTGGAAACCCATAGTTACGATATTAACGAGGAAAAAATTGATGAATCTTAGCGCCATAAGGCTTTAGATGTGTATTTGTAAAATGAATTAGCCGTAGGTATGCCTAATCAATGTCAAATGAGATATATATAGTTTATAGTTATAATATCTAAATAATGGACGAAAATTATGAAATCGAATTGTAACCGAAATATGCCGTCGTTCGATTTATTTTCAACAAATTTAGTTGATATGTTGGTTAGCTGTACCCATAAGTTAATACTGATGTGTGCGTTAATGCACGGTTTGCATTATCCCAGTCCAGTGACCAAAAACGCTGGATTGCAACTGGAGTAATGCAAGCTGTACTCAAAAAGAATGGAATGAAAATGTATAAAATCAAAACAGTTGATGGAAAGGAACTAACCGTGAGTTTCTATTGTTGAAAAATATTACAGAAACATTTTGTTATGTGTTTTTAAAGGAAAAGAAAAGGGGCATGATGTTTTTGTAGTTTTTACCTCAGTGGAAACTCACGGCATAAAAGTCAGGGTAGCTGGTGCTGGCTCAATATATCATAGAATACTAATAATTCACGTTACCATATTATTAATGAATATGTAAGTTTCTTTTTTTTTACAATTTATTTATATTTATCCAGAAGTTCCTATGAGCATTAAAGTGACAAAAATGGTAGTAACAGACACTTTATCCATTAAATTCTAAACGACTGCGAATTTGTTTAGTTATTCCTAATAATAATCTGTAATTTAAAATTCCAAATACACTTGAGACTGATCAAAGTATTAAAAATTATTAGTCTATGAAATAATAAAAATCTGAACTATTAGGAATCCACAACACAAACAAGATGGGATTAATATAAAAAAGCCAAAATATCCAGTATTAGCATTATTAGCATATATATTAAGTTGCGTTATTGCTTTTAAAACTTTACTTTTCACTATGCATGTTATAAGTACTTATTTATTTCTATTCCTTATAATTTTATATAAGTCTGTGTTTGCATTTATTTACTTTAAAATCATTTATTTTGATATAGACTTAAGGCCTTTTTATTTAAAGGATAATGAAGTCCACATCGAGGAGTTACAAGACGACGATCCTAATACTTATACAGATATGCCTTCCCTTGTCAACATATCATCGTCCTGTCTTTATTTATCTCGTACCAATCCTCCATTTATTTACCAGTATGATGGTAACCAGGTCAAAATTTTACAAGTATTAAGTCAGTTGCCTATTTCTGAGGAATTAAGTCCAAAGGATAATCCATTTGATCAAAGGGACCAAAATAATATATCCACAGAGAAAAAAATAAAAGACGATAGCTCTCAAAATGTTGTTTTAGAAAATAATATTTTAAATAATGATTCCACAGACAATACACTACAACATATTGAAATCAATCAACAAAAACACGATTCAGATAACAATGTAGGACTTTCTAAAATTGACTTAGTAAATACTGCTGATAGCCTATTAAAAGAAAAACCTTGTTCTGAAGTTTCTCAAATAAACAATGATACAAATAACACTACAATTAATATTAATTTGAGCGAAAAAGAATTTGAACATAAAACTGAACAAGACGAAACCGAAAATGACAATTTAACATTAGATAATTCGGGTGAAATTTTTACTGATAATTATTCATCCGACGATGAAGCTTCTTTTGGCACCCCCAATGAATCGCCCAAATCAAATAGAAAAAATGTAAAAGGCAAATATGGTAAAAATAAAGCTCCTTTACCACCTTCTACAGAAATTAATACATCTCCAAAAGTTGTTGAAAGTAAAGATGTAACGAAAGAAATATTAGAAGATGACAAAAATTTAAAAGAAGAAGAGATAAAGATTGAGGAGAAAGAGGCAATTTCCATGCCTGACACTCTCAGTCCTTCAAGTGAAGTTAAAAAACGACAAAAATCAAAATCCCCGATAAGAATACCAAAACCAAGTACTTCGGGATTTGGGAAATTGTTGCAATTACCTGGCAAATTAGCTTTCTGGCATAGAACCGATGACAAGCCATCTGACAATATTTCGAATTTATCAGGTGATAAAAGTAGAAGTTCCTCAATAGGTCACTTAACAGATAATGTATCGAATAAGGACGATACAACCTTGCCCAGTAATGAATCGAATGATATATCTGAAGTACTATTAAAACCAAAATCACTAGATGATATCAGTTTTAAAGACGCAATAGAATCTGAAAATGAAATCACATCGCATAATATTATTGAAAGAAGTGATATTCTCCAAAAGCTTATTGAAGCTAAAATAGAAAGTCACCCGGAATATAAATTTGTTCCTTTGAAAGATGAAATCCAGACCACATCAAAAAGTACAGATGTTTAATACGAATACGAACGATATATTCGACATGCCGGAACAGTATGTTTATTTGTGTTAATTTTGTTTTGACTGCATGTGTTGTGTTACTTTTCGTTTTAATTGATTTTTTTTAGTAAAATACGTTTAAGCTTTATAAATATGCAATTTGATTTTGCCTACTGTGCTTTTTTGATTTTATGTGCCTTTTTTTTAACAAATTTCTGAAATATAGAAATGTAAACAGATTTAAACTGTCATATGCAATACTAATAAGTTAACTATTTTTGTTGGTTTCTCAATTTCAAAATGATTACTTAATTAAATAAGAAATACTAGAAAACTACCGATTTATGCATTTTGCTGTTACGTTTATGAATTCAAATGTTGCTATTTCAAAACCGATATTGTCTATACCTAACTATGGCTCCCTTGTTATTCTGTGTGCTTCATTTTGGGTGATGCTTTTATATCAACTTATATATTTTGTATGTTTGAATCTTTAGCTACGTCAAACTGATACAAATATCATTATATTGCTTTTCGCTTTCCGAATTAGTTTTCAATTTCCTATTTTGTTTTATTTCAGGCAATGCTGTCGGCATCTGCTACAATACCGCGCGCAAAAAAATCTAATAAAAGGAAAACTCAGTAGGCAATTTGTTCAAGTCATCAATATTTCCAACTTAATGTAAATAGAGATTGATTAAAAACGGCATTTGCTGATATTTCGCCGTAAAGTTAGACGTTAGCACTCACTGTCTGCCATTTAAGTCCCTATTATCTGTTTAAATAATTATGCTCTCTATCTAGTGTTAATTTCACACATTTCCGAGGAAAAGACAAAACAAAACATAAAATTAGCAAATCTATTATCTATCGCTGCTTCTACTTAGGAAATAATATTTATTATATGCTAAAACCTTAGTTGTTTTAACGCTATGATTTAGCCTTTAATATTTAATGGGTATATCAATTTTAATAATTATCAAATTCTTATGAATTTAAATACTCTTCCTAAATCAGTATTAAATTATACCAGCTTTCAATAATTGTTTTGCTTGTGTTAAATATACCAGAATATTGAGTAAAGGCTAGTAATATTAGGTTTTTATAGAATAGACGATCTCGAGTAATTAAGAAGTGTTGATATGAAGGCAATGTTTTGTCATTTTTTTTCAGTTCTTAAAACGGTTACTTTGTAGTTACCAAAATTCAATAGCATTGAATGCACAATGTAGTATTTGTAATTAGGTAAATTTATTTATGAGGACTGAATTCTCAAAAAAATCTGCATTCTTTTTTATTTCTATTACATATAAACTGATAGTTATTTTCTCAATGCACTCTCTTACAATTGGTAATGTTTAATTTTGCCAAAATTTGCCAAATACCTAAGTGTGTAATTACTATATTTAAAAGGCATAGTTTGATAGTCATATGAATTAAGTATATCTAATAAAAAGTCAACGAGGCTTTAAAACAAATGCTAGATGAATTTTCATATTTACGACATAACGAAACACAAATTTAAGTTACAAGAAGTCAATGTTTTAAAAATACATACTATGTTTTTTACGGAATGTTAGTGAAAGTTTAAACTCTTATCACAAGACCTACAATAGATTTTCATAGATAATGTGCTTATCCTTTTAATTAAACAGTGTCTGATATACATAAAGCAATGAATTATTAAGAAAGTGCTTTGCCACTTCAATGAAATAAAAGTTTTGTTCATTATTTTACGGCTATTACTCACGTCTACTTTTTTCGGTGACGGCACCGACCAATTTTCAGTACACAACCGCATTAACCCTCGCCCTGAAGAAGGACCCCCGCAGGGTCTGAAACTGGTCAGTGCCGTCGACGAAAAAAAGTAGATGGAGTAATAGCCGTAAAACAACAAGTTATAAAATGTCTCACGAAAGTTTAAATAATTTAATTTTATTCAATATGGCGCGGTGAACAAAGGTGCAATATACTCAAGTTTATAAATATACAACATTAAATAAACTCTAACAGAATGTGAAACTGTACAGTTGTAGTTGTTATCGATATTATTTTAGACAACAAATGGAATTACGTATAACCTCATTGTTAGATATAGACAGAAGAAATGTAATTTATATTGAAGATTGTAGATTAAAAATTAAATTGAATTGTAGTTTACTTTGCCATTATGTTTAAAGCAATGCAATGTTTATACCCTGTAATTGTGTGTCAGTTTCTCTCATGGTATATAATGTATATTTTAGTTTTAACCAAAGTATATAATATGGTATGTTTTGTTTTATATGGAAATTTGAGTTTTGTTACCAAATATGTACAGTACTACCTCGAAGACTAAATGGGCCATTTATAAAGAAATATATGAGAACATAAAATAGTAAGTATTTTATACTTGTTAGTATTAATAAATGCAGCTATGCTTGCAATAATTTCAGCTTTTGCAAATGGAATATTGCTGTTAGGTATTGCCTGAATTCGTGGTAATTCTGTACATTTTGCTAATTGGTTGTATTACATTGGAATTTCGTGTTTGAAATAATAAAAAGATATTAAAAGTAATGTTTTATTTCCATTAAATTTATATACGATTTTAATATTACAATCATTATAAATAGTGGTTGAACTTAATCTATGACACTCCACCTCTACATTTTAAAGTGTCCAGGATATAACTTCCATAATCACTCTTGTATTCATTATTAATAATTTGTTTCTCTAATAATTCAAAAGACTCAATATCCCAAGAATTAATCCAGTACAATATGGAAAACAATTTGTAATAAGCATTATTATGTTTTAAATCACTTACTGTGATTTTAGGCAAGTTTGTTATAATATTTGTTAGTTTAGGTTTAACTACATTGTTGAAACTTTTATTATTACTGACAGCAAGCCTATGAAGAATATCAATTGTATCTGAACTGATTGTGCTATCTAATAATACATCGGGTAAAATTTGGAGCCAATATAGAAAAGCTTCAGAAGAATGAAAATTAACTAAATTATTATTTAAATAAATTTTGCATAGCAATGCAAACATTTGTTGCTTCAGATATGAAGAAGAACTGTCGCTGCAATAAGTCCAGATTATCTTTTTAAATAATGATTCAACTATGTTTAATGATTTTGTCCAATTGGTGCTTACTTCTTCTGAAATGATTTTGTGCATTATTCTTATAGCAACCTCTAACATAGAGTCATGAGAGTTACTGGAAAAATTGTTTTCAATATAATTGAAGATAGCAATAACATCTTTTTGGTTGTTCTTAATATTTAGATTTGGGTTGATAGTTATATACAAGTAGCATATTTCCAAATTTTCAGTGATTAACTTTGGGTCTGTAATTGGAATCTCAAATGGTAAATCGGTTTTTGGTAAATGCGACCTTACATTTGTGACATAAGGAAAAGCATTAACAAAATGCTGGGTGAAGAGAGATTTATATTTTTGTATAAAACTATTTTGAATCAAAGAACTGGGATATTTCTTATTGAAGTATTCTACAAGTTTCCATAGCATAGAAATTACCTCGAGGACATGTTGTAATAGTATTGCAGCATCTTCATTTATGACAGTTTCGATATTTTTGTCTCCCTTTACATTGGGGCGTACTTCAAGCCAAATATCAAACATTAAAGGCATCAAAGTATTTACATAGGATTGAAACTTCTCCACTTCATCTGATAGAGAATTTTGAGAGGATTTAGATGAAAAGCATGAAACTGTGCATATAGATGTATAAATTGGGTTAAACAATGGAAAATTATTTTTATTTTTTATGTTAAATACTTGAGTCTTGTCAGATAATTGTTCTGTTTTGTAAACATCATTACATTCAGCAAATTTATGCAAAAACTGTTGCAAGCGATGGAATACCTTCACACGCCACTTAACACTTGTGATTTGGCTGTTTAAATTAACAGTCAATGTCCTCCCTTGGTTTGCATCCTTCAGCTTAGATATCATGTCCAAGAAATTGGGTATAATCTTGTGAAAGTCATGAGCTATCAGTTGTGGGGTACACAATAACAAAACATCAAGAAATAAAAGTGAATCTTCTTGAATTCTGTTGTCAATATGTGTCATTGCACTTCTAAGGTATGTTGATAAAACATCAAAGAAAGGGTCTATTTTTTCTGTGCTAACATGTGTCAAAGCCAAATGGATTACCTTTATAGACTCACGGCGTACCTGGAAAGTAAGTTTGAACCATTATTAATACTTCTAAAAACATAGATTACAGTAAAAACATAGATTATATGAAATAATAAGCAGATAATCATTGATTTTAACAGCTATTTATTCTTTAATTTGCTAAAAACATAACAATACTCACATTTTTTTCTATGTTTAAAACCAATGGAGTAACACCATGAATAAATTGGCCTAAGTTTACTTCCAAAGAGTTATTGCGCAGAGGTATCAGTTCTTTTAACCCACTCAAGGCTTCCATTCGGGCATTCGTGTTAAAGTGACTTAGCCGTGTTAACAACTCTTTAACATTTAGCTTTTTCGACGACAAAATCTCTGTTCGACCATGTTTCTTAAGTTGTTCCTGTATTACAATTTTCTTTACTTTAAAGTTCGTTTTAGTAACATTTGTGCCTTTTGGTAATTCTTTTTTTCCTTTTAGTTTTGTCTTAGCTTTTTCTGATTTAAGAAACTTTTGATATCTTGTTGCACCCGTCTTATGCATCTTTCTTTATGTTTTTCTTTGAACAAAGAAACTAGTCTGTTTTTCTAAAATGATATGTTTAACTTAACCTCAATCACACAATCCAATAAAAACATGAAATCTTTAAAAGGAATATGACTGACATTTTTAATTTGACAGACTGATGAAATACCACAGCCTAAAGTACTTTTTATTATTCTTTTCTTATTCACTAATTTAGAGGACAATTCCAGTATTGATTATAGTGTAGAGAATTTAGCAATGACAGAAATAATAGCGAAATCCAATTCGATTATGTATGTTTGTAGTAGTAATAGACATTTATTTTCTCCCGTTATTTGTTATGGTCATTATTAATGTGATTAAACAGTGTTTTTTTCCTTTCATAAGTTATAACTATAAATCTGTTGATTCCAACTTGCAATTTTCAGAATAAAAATCGAAAATCGATAAGATTCATGACTGATTTCACACAACCCATCCCTACTAAATTTGAAATGAATTGTCGAATTAATCTAAATTATTTAGACTCACTATAATTGATTTCTGTTATACAACCAACGAGGTAAAATATTAAAGTACAATAAAACAGTTTTAAAACCGTATGTCAAGCACATGGTTGGCAAATGTCAATTTGACGTTTAAGTGTGGTTGAAGTTGTGTTGTTTTTGAGTATATTTAGAACATTTATTATAAAACGAAAAGTACAACACCGTAAATATCATCATGAAAGTTAAGAAACAACACCGCAAAAAGAAATATCAGCACAAACTTAATCGTAAAAGATTAAATAGAAAACAACGCAATACAGGCACTGTTCGATGGTAAGATTTTGCTAGTAATTAAAACTAAATTTCAAATATAAGTAGAAGAAGCAGTAGATACTACATTAACATTTTATCTTAACACATTTATAACATAACTAGCTTTCGCCCGCGACTTCGTAGCGTGAAATTTAAGACCCGAAAGTGAGTAGTCTATGTGTCCTTCCAGGCTATCTACATTTATACCAAATTTCATCGAAATCCGTTTAGCCGTTTAGGCTACAAGTTGTAACAAACATCCATATATCCATCTAAACTTTCGCATTTATAATATTAATATGAATATGATATGATATTATGATGAATATGAATACATTCCCCTGGAAATCCTACAAATCTTTAATTCAATTCAATTTATTGATCTTCCTTAATTCTTATTACCATTTACATATCTTGTCATTACTAAATTAGTTTATTTCACATTTTTTCCATAAGTAAAATTGCAATAAATTTCCATTGCAGTGAAGTAATAAAAGATGCATGGGATAACAAGAAATCTACTTATAGAAACTTAAAAGATATGGGTTTAGCAAATGATCCCAATAAAATTATACAGATACCAAACTTCAAGCAAGAAAAAATAAAACAAGCAAAGGTAATTGTTAACAAAGAAGAAATAGAAGATATTGAGGAAGAAAATATCACTACTGTACCAATTAAAAAAGAAGTTGCTGAAAAATTAGAAAAACAAGCTAAAGCACCAAGGGAAAGAAGATTTATGTAAGTAATTAAGTAAATGTTATTCTCAAAATAGGCATTATTGACAAAATAGACCTTACTTAGATCTAGATTATGTACTACATCTGTGTCAATTTTCATTAAAATTCGTTAAAACACTTTGAAGATAGAATTTAACAAATTTCTTTTCATCCACATATCCAATCTTTCACAAATCATCATCTCTACCTCATCCTACTCCCATGGGGTCAGCACACCCGGTTTTTATCCCCTAAATAACTATCATCCATCATCTCCGTCCTCACACTCTTCATGATCATGTCACCTTTCATACAATCCATCCATCTCTTTCTAGGTGTACCCTTCCACACTACTAACATCCTTGTTACATGGGATTCATTCCTTTCACAAATATTAAATCCACCACCATCACCAGCTCACTATACGTCCCCACCGAGGGGCTTGGAACCTACCCTAATAAGGGGTGACTAGGCCATAGGCCGATATGTGCAGATTGCATCATAATGTTTTTCCTTCACCGTAAGAACATCGGGTAAATTATATATATATGAAAATTCGAAAAAACGAAAATCACTGGTACATGGCGGGATTCGAACCCAAGACCTGTGGATTACAAGTCAAGTGTTCAAGTCGAGCGTCGGTGGCTCAGTGGTTTGAAATATTAAATGACTATTCTTAATTTGCAGGTTACCAAAGGGTCAAGTGGAATATATAACTTACCTATTGGATAAATATGGACATGATTATAAAGCAATGGAGAAGGACAGGAAAAACTATTATCAGGAAACTTGGAAACAACTGAGAGCTAAGATAAAAACATTCATGGGTATACCAAAACAGTATGGTAAATATTTACAAGCAAGAGGATTACTTGATAAAGAGCCAGACGATGAGGAATTAAAGAAACAAGCTAAAGCTTTAGCTGAAGATTAGCTTTTAAGTTATATACAAGGTTTTGTAATTAACATATCTCATACGATTTTAATAATAAAATTCAGGAGATAAATAAAAAATGTAAAGTAATTGTAAGAAATAACAGCTTTTTTATTTATAACTTCTAATGCAATTCTAAATGCAAATTATACAGTAAAAACATAAAATAACTTTCTTTATTACTATTGTGTGTTGCATTCACTTGGAATATCTTTGATAGGCTTGACTTTTTTCAACTCTTCAAACCATTCTTTTTCCATATCAAGTAGTGGCTGTGGTTTCTTATACTGAAATAATTGTATAATTAAATAATAAATGACATAAACCATACAAGAAACTAGAAAATTAGTAAAATGTTTATGATAATCTTACTAATATTATAAATGCGAAAGTTCAGATGGATGGATGGATGTTTGTTAGAATTTGCAGCCTATATAGCTGAACGGATCTCAATGAAATTTGGTATAGATGTAGAGAATAGTCTGGAAGATCATATAGGCTTTTGTTTTTTTATATTCCACATGGACGGAGTCATGGGCGATAGCTAGTAATAAATACTTACAGAAATAATCAAAGTGTTAAAACTATGAGAAGATTGGACATTAGCTTGTTGCAGTTGTAAATTCAATCTCTGTAGTTCTGGAACTTCCAGCTTTTTGTAATACTTTTTGTTTGTTGTGCTTACAATAATGTTTTTATTATCATTATCAACTTTAATTGAATAAGTTTCTATAGGGTATGGTAAGTTCCTAATTCTCCATTCTAAATTTACCCTAGTATTTCGTCTTGTGAGTATAGGCTGAAAATAAAAACATCAATAAAAATATAAATTTCATTTTTTTAACAACCAAGTTAAGCTTTGAATTCCTTTACAATTATAATATTTACCTGGTCTTTACATTCAGTTAACTCTGCCACTTCAACATTAGTTGTGACTTCAGGGACAGGATCACCAATTTCTGCTTGCCATTTTCCTTCACCTCCCAACTTTCCTTTCACTTTCCAAGATCTACGTAATAATACCTGTGTGTCCGTATTATACTCCTCAACCATTTCACGTCCATCGTCAAACTTGTAATGAATCTTCTTTATTTTATTATTATTTATACACGACTTCTCAGCGTTTAGTAATGATTTGTACCAAGGTGTGTTTTTATAAATCATTTTGCTATTTTCGGTAATATAAACACTCTCTTTAATTCTTTTTTCAAAACCAGTAAAAAATGGATCCCTGACAGTTTCCAAACATTCGATTAAACATGTTCGTCTTTTCATATTGTTTCTATGACAACCACTGTTATACGAATACAAATCATAACCTATATCTTACATACTACAACGTTGCCATCTAGTTGTAAATATAGTTCCTACTGCATAACCATTTTGTTTTTCATGTTTGTTAAAATACCAAAACCTAAACTATGAGTACGAATTTAAAATACTATCTCTTATCAAATGATAACAAATTTTTTAACATAAAATGACAATTTTTTAAAATGTTGCCATTTGCATTTTGTCATGTATGAAAATATTGTTATGTTTTCACAGACAAATTATTTATTAAAAATAAAACAGCTTTTTCTCTGAGCATTTTGGGATAAACTTTGATACAGGAAGGCTCTAGATATACCACCTCTTGAATATTCGTATAATTAATTATGTATTGCATTATTGGAACATGCTTTTATTGGGATAGCATTGAAAAAGTCGGTTTTTCTATTTTATATTGACTTGTCGTTTTCTATCACTTTCTGTTGACGGCTCTTCGTCTCTATGGTCCCCAGGACATTGTTTTTACAACATTTTTAGGTTATTTGTTTACAAATTAAAATCTTTTTTGACCCTGTATACGGTGCAAAATTTTCTGTATTATTTGAAACGTTAATATTCACATTCGTTGGTATGAAATGTAGGGTATAATTTATTTTTTAGAGACTGCAAAATGGCTGGACGAATCCCAGATAGGTACGAGTTCATAAAGTTTTTAAAATAAACACAGAAACTTTCTCATATGGTTCTAAACTATGTATTTATTTCTTATTGCAGATGGTTACAATATAAATCATGTGGAAAAGTTATAGAAGGAACAAGAATTATTTGTTTTAAAGTGCCACTAAAAAGGGTATGTCAGACTTTTTATATTGTGCATATGCATATTACACGTGTACACGTTAAATAATTATACGTCTACGTGTTGCTCCCTTGATTTCATATTAATTCTAATATGTAACTACTTGGTACCTGCTTTCCTATTACTATTTTGAGGCATTCTAATAAATGTATTCCCATTTATTGGAAATATATATGTTGAAATAAACAATAAGTATTGCGAAATAAGTTCTCTCTAGATTATATGAGTGATACGACTCTCTTATGGATTATTTGTAGAGTAACTTGCCATTGTCTCAAACTACTAACCTTATATCGTTTACACCCTTTAATTTTGTGTTTTTGCTTCTGTTATTTTAGAATAAAGTGGAATATATGTTTATTGCCAGAAAGACCTGAAATTTATAACATGGATTTATTCTAAAGACATAATAGTACAAAATTGTAGCAAAAGGTTTTTAACTGGCTCCTTCGTACTCAAGCGAAGAAGATATATTTATTCTTTGTAGACATATCTTGCATTTCATGTTCTGCTAGTCTTACAGAATTAAAATATAAATACTGTGACTGACTTTGTGACAAATGCTTATCTATTTTGAAGGTTGACATTGATGACTTGGTTAGATTAATGAATTTCTTGTTTGAGTCAAACACTCATTCATCTAATTGACACTTTTACTGTATAAATAGTCTTCCCTGTCTATGTTTAACTTGTTTCCAACCATTTAAAAGGGTCAAAAGAATTATTGTACATATTAGTTTATTATTAAGCAAAGTAATATCTTAACAACTTAGATATTGCAATTATTATGTAAGTGCATTATTTTTGATTTAGGTTCATTAATAACATTCGTAAGGACATGACACTGCCATCTATTATTGAAAAGTAGTACTTCCCACTGTCACATGTTGTAGTAGTTGATTTGCTTGGCGATAGATGTCTCCACTTGTTGCATATTAATATACAGTAGAACTTCGGTAACTCGAACCTCGATAAAAACCTCTATACCTTTAAAAAATAATATGTCAGGGGAAGGGTCCCGTCAGAGCCAAAAACCTCTACAACTTAAAATATGCAATGTCTTTAACTTAAACAACTAATCTCTGTATTGACACTAAGTAACTTAAAGAAATGTTTCCACAACCTCTATAACATAAAATTTTATGTCAATGAGTCATTTTGAAGAGTGTGCAAAACAAGAGGTTTCTATACTATAACTTTTTTCTACCAACTTTGTTTAGTATACCTTTAAAATTTTACACAGATTCACTGTAGACAATGTTTATTAAGATTTAGTTGCAAATGCATTCTATTCTATACTGGATACATCCTTATTCAGAGAAATCTAGTATAGAGTGCAATTCGTGAGTGTTCACGTTTGAAAGTAAAGCAAATGAGCAATCATAAAGTTCTTCCCTAATTGCGGTATAATAAACGTGAGAAAGCATTTCACATCAACAATTTAAGGTGTGAATACTTCTATTAATTAAAATTTATTTTGAAGATACTTAAACATTTAATCGACACTGGAAATCTCGCGTTTGCTATAAAACAGCAAAGGAATCTTGACAACATTTAGACAAGTCATACATCATCAAGATGAACTTAGTGTATTCAACAATGTTTTTCTAGAATTTCCTCTCTCTGTGCGAATACTATTGTTAGCCTTTTAACAATTTTGATGTATTATTTATTATGTTTTAAACTAATTTACAAGTATTGTTAATATGGCCGTCCGTCTATATTAAAGGAAGTCATTTGTGGAAATATCTAACACTATCCTGTCATTAATGTATAAAGCGTCTAAATTGTAACTAAGCTTATTGTTTATGGCCAAATATTTGGCAATTAAAAAAATTTAATTCTTTGAGTTGGTATAGGGAATTTTTTTCATACAATTATAAGCTCTCGCGACTAGTACCGACAATGAGATGCACTATTGGCGTGCAATCGTACAATGCTTGTTTGTATAACTGTCGGTAGCTTGGCTGTGGTCGCACACTCGACCGTACCACAGTTACACGACAAACATTCGAACCTCTCTATCCTCTATCTTCCCCTTTCACTACTGATCGGTGTGTTAATTTGTTCGAAGTTATATTTTCACTGCGAGTTCGACGATTTTGTTTAGATTTAATAATTTAAGATACTTTTAGATGAAATGGGTCAGGTAAAGATAAGATGAAGTAGAATCAAAGTAATAAGAATGAATGTGGATGGCTTGTGTAAAAGAGGATATGGGTAAGAACTGTTTTTTTTTAGTCAGATAACACGGCTTTTATAATTAAAATAGTAATGTGCCAACTCTATATAGGGAAAACTTCAAGAGGATGATAGGAAAAGCTCTAAAGTAATGATTTTCTAAATCCAGTGCCCGTTTTTTACTAGAAAAATGTTCTAAAATTCCCCTTAATTAATTTTTGATTAACACTAGCTTTTATCGTCTCTGTACACTTAAATAAAACTGTCACCACAAATGATATATATTGTTAGACTAACCTTTAAAAAATATCATTGATTACAAAAGTCAAGCAATTTTCATGTAAATCTTTTGTTGTGTTATGCTTATTATCAATGAACAAAAAACTTGGTCTTTCAAAGATTCGGTCAGTTTTCTTTGTAATCAGTTTAACTGCTGTTTATTCGAAAAGTTTGATATCAACATGGACTATGTCTATTTGCGGGTAGTTAAAATTCTTTGTTCTGTACGTGTCAGTCAACATAGAATGTAGGTTTTGTGTAGAAATAATAAAATGCGAAGCATAAGGTAATTGCAATATTGCTGTGTTAATAGTACATATCTCTATAATGTAGAAAATGTTTGTAATAGCAAGATTCGCATCTAAAGTGCATCATCTATATTGGTGGTTTACTTTACTCTTCTTTTTATTCAAAACTAGCTGTTGGTCGCGGCTTCGTCCTTCACTAATATATAATGCCTATTTCACTCACTGCTAACGTAGCTTTTTAACAGTGATAGAATATTTGAAAACCGTCCAGTAGTTTTGGAGTTATTTTAATGCCTACAAAAATACAAAATACAAATCTATCTTTATCTCTATCTATCTTTATAATCTTTGTAATACTAATATAGATTATTCTAAATGTATCTAATATAGTTAAATAAATAAAAGAAAAGCAAGAAAGCTTTGTTCTTGTTCCTACAAATTTAATTTTCCATCTCAGCTGGGGTAAAGAATTTAATCAGTGCGAACTGAGTGTCGACAATAGGCTTGGATCGCTATTGGATTGTGGCTCCGGTACGGCGCTATGTCGGTCACAGGCCGATGCGAGATAGCGTGCGTTCCTATCCCTTGTGGATTTCAAAGCTGTCTTATATGCATTTATGCAATTATCCAACCCCTCTTTGATAGTAATTTCATTTTAATTCTTCGATAGTTCTTTTAATACTCCCAAGTTTCTACTTTCTGTTGTTTCACTTGAACAATAAGTAAGAGGACTGTGCGGTCCTTTATTGCGTAAATTCGTCGCCCAAAAATTAATCTAAAGAGTTTTTTTATGTGAGACTCTGTTTTATAACAAGTTTGTGAAAACTGTATAGTAGTTGTTACTTAAAACTACTTAGAATTTAATGAATGTAAGTGCTTTTAGATTTACAAATTGGAAGTAATGTTAGCGTTACGTTTACATAAATCAATTCATGATAATAACCGGCCGCGGTGGCTCTTTTGAAGATTTACTCAGATGAAGACAAATAAGGTTTAAAGCGGGATTTGTGTTGCGCTAAGTGAGATGTAGATAACAAAGTAAGACTTGAAATTAAATGAAGCGTTTTATTTGAACTCCCTTTATCCCTAGATAAGGATATATTTTAATGTGTAATTATGTGTACGGGTTTGACCTTAATCCCGTTACACATCTGCCGTGTGTTTGCTTAGCAGCGTGTCAAAATATTTGTCCCTTATAAAGGAACGGCTACGACTCATAAAGGACTAATCTCGTATTTGATAAAACAGCGGGTGCCCCTTGCCATGCACCGTGAATGACCGCTTTTATCTCTCCATCTTTTGATTTTTTTCCTTTCGTCTAAGAAATATTTCCTTTATTCGGTTTCCGTGGCGCTTTGATTCCGCTCTTTTATTCGTCGGGATCTCACTCATAAATTTCGATAGTTTTGTTTACTTTGAGTTATAAAGGGATATTACCGTAATGGCAATCGGTATCTGTAATTTGATATTGCCTTTCTATTAGTTTTTTGGAATTTTGATCTATTGTATTGTTATATTCATATTTCTCTAGTCTTCAAAATGTTTACTTATGTACATAAATATCTATGGTATAAAAATGTCTAAACTCATAATACTATTATAGAAGTACGCACCCTTAATTTAATTGTTTACGTCCTATATTAAAATTCATCCGAGCAATGTCCCGGCGAACAGCTAGTCTTAAACAAAATGCCACAGCGTTGCAGTAAGCATGATGTTTCAGTTGGAGTACATATTGTAAATATGTTTACGACGTCTTCTGACTTTGATGGTCGCAAGCGATGTCCTACGGGCGCCAGACGCAACATATCAATCAAACACTTCTTTTGCCCGCGACAATAACAATATTTTCTTTTCACAATGCATTTTTACGATACAACCTCTAGTGAGGACATGTACAATTGGTGCAATGACTTTGATCGTTCTTGCCACCATTATGCACACACACGCAGGCCCCTTATAAAGTTATAAACTTCGAATGAGGTCCTTTTTATGTTTTTTTCGACAAGTTCCAAAGGTGACAAGTATACACCCGTGGTAATATCTTTATTTATGAATATTTCGTGCCGTACTACACCCGAGAGACCTCCCGTGTAACACATTATATTCCGTACGATATGGGAAAATATTGATTTCATTCAAAGAAGTGTGAATCGGCAATAGAGTCATGAATTAATGTGATTCTCGATGTCTCGTTATAATATAAATTGTCATCTCATACAAATAATACTGTAATAAAACTTTCGACTAACAATTTTCCTTTTAATTCACTAATTGAAACAT